CGTATTGTGGTTGGCGCCGGGTGAGGGCCCTGGTGGATGGAGGTGGGGACAGCACAAGCTAGCCAGCAGCTGCTCTCCTCCTTGGGGTGACCATGTAAGTTTCCTCCCTCTACCCTCCCATGCAGGCCCGACCCTGTCCGAGGGCGGCTTTGCACCCAACAAGACGGCCGCTGCCAGCGTGCTGGATGTACAGGAGGCCACTGACAAGAAGGGCAAGAAGTACTACAAGGTGGGTGTCGATGGCATGCTCGAGGATGCAGTCCGTGTAGCAGTGACGTTCTCAAGCCGTCGTTGAGGCACAAAAAAAAAAGCAACTGTGCCTCTGTAATTAGAGTCTCTAATGTTTGCCTGTGCGCGAGTTGCTGACACTACTCCCGTCTGGTCACGCCATGTGCAGTTCGAGGTGCTGACCCGCGCTGCCGACGGTGATGAGGGTGGCCGCCACCAGCTGGTCGCTGCCACCGTGTCCAACGGCAACCTGTACCTGCTCAAGGTGCAGTGCGGCGACAAGCGCTGGTTCAAGGGTGCCAAGAAGGAGGCTGTGGGCACCTGGAACAGCTTCACTGTCGTGTAAGCTCTGCATTCACGCAGCAGCAGCAGCAGCCCGCATACCACCATCTGCGGGCCCTCGGTGCTGGGGGCTGCCCCGCTTGTCGGCCCTCGCCTGGCGGCCCGCAGCGAGAAGATCATGCCCCACCCCCTCACTTTCCCCTGCTTGTACGTCTTTCGTTTGGCCTCCGATCTGGCACGGTCGCGAGCGGGTCGCGACTGGGTTTTGGGTCAGCGCCGGCTCTATTTGTGAATTTTGCCTTCACCAGCAACGCCTTGTAACCCCGCAGCAAACCTCATTTGGCATATGGGATATGGGCGCCTGCACAACAGGACTGTGCTCTTGGGGGGACTGTGTTCTTCGTTGGCGCCTGCTGCTTTGCTTTCCAGCTGGCAGCAACAGCGTCCTCCTCCCACAGCCCTCTGTTCCCGGGCGCCGCACCCAAGATAGCCGCCTTCCATCCGCCGTTGCGTTTCCCTCTTCTCCATTCATTCACCGACATGAGCGTGCCGCTGGAGAACCTAACAGTGCTCAGGTACCAGGAGATAATCGATGGGGTTGTCGGGCGCGTCAAACCAAGCTTCAACGAAGAGGGGATTGACGAGTGAGTGGTCGTGGTGGTGGCTCCTGCTGTGCCTTCTGCCCCTGGTGAAACCGGTCCCATCCATGCTCAGGTCGGTGCTAGATGAGGTGCGAGCGCTGTGGGAGGCGAAGCTTGTGGCGACGGGAGTGGTTGGCGAGCCAAGCATCGAGGGCCAGCAGTAAGGCGCTGCTGCTGTGCACGTTTGGATCGCCTGTTGAGACCAGCCTGCCGAAACGCGGGGCTGCCTGCTACTGCAGGGTCATCCTGCAGCAGCGACTGCAGCAAGTGCCGCTGCGAGCGGCGGGGCTACCTTTGGCACCCGCCACGCTGCCGCACCAGCTGCAGCCTCTGCATGCTGCTCACCCCCAGTTCTTGGCCATGCGCCCTGGCTTCCACCCTGGAGTGCCAGGAATGGGTATGCAGCAGATGTTGGTGCCTGGTGCTGTGCCGCAGCAGCTCAACATGGCAGCATTCGCGGTCATGCAAGCACAGGCACATGCGGCAATGGTGGAGCAGAAGCGCAAGCTAGATGCGGAAGCAGCCACGGAAGCGCCAGACGCCAAGCTGCAGCGCACCATCCCGCAGCAGGATGGACCCGCCGACGATGCTGGCCACGAGATCGCCGAGGGAGAGGCGCAAGGCACGGTGGCTGCTGCAGCGGAAGCAAAGGAAGAGGAGGGGAAGGAAGATGACGATGATCCGCTGAGTGAAGATGATGACGATGGCAGTGGTGAGCTGTGCGTCGGGTTGGGCCAGGCAAAGGCGCCGCTCGTTATGGCCAGGGTTGCTGGGGTGCCACTCGCGGATCATCCATGCATAAGCCATTTGAGCGTGCTGCCTTCAACCCTCCCCAATGCTTCTGCCTGCACATGATTTGCAACCTTCACCCCTGCGTCACAATCCTGAACCGCCACAAAATGTGTACCTTACAGGTGACGAGGTGGATGAGGCATCCTTGGCCAATGTCGTATTGGGACAGTTTGAAAAGGTGCAGCGCAGCAAAAGCAAGTGGAAAGTGGTGCTCAAGGACTGCATACTCACGCTCAACGGTCGGGACTACCTTGTGCGCCGCTGCACCGGCGAGATGGACTTTTGAGCCGCTATGGAGTAGCCTGTTGCTTTCTGGGGCTTTCCGGCGCATTGCTTTGTTGCTCTCACCATCTGTTCTGCTCTAACTCCCAGTTGCTTCTTGCATTGTCATTGTTTGCTTTGCCGTTACCATGAGCTATAGTCATTGCTTGCGCTGCAAGCACGACACATCAACCAACGTGCGCTCCACGTGTCACGAGTAGGAGCGGGAGGCCTGGCACGTTGCCTGGGCGGCTGCCCTGGGTGGCAGGCCGCTGCGCCGTCAACCGCGTGAGGGCCGTGCCGGGTCGTACAGCCTCCGCCGCCATGCCGGGTGCTCCTGCCGCTGCGGCTTGCATGCGCTCGATCCGGGCCAACTCTGAACTGAATTTTTGGACGTCGTCGTGCAAGCCAAACTCCTGTGTGAAAAGGAGCAGCAGGGAACTGGTTATGCTCTTGGGAGCAACAGAAACCTCGGCTCGGCCCACTGCTGGTCGATCAATGACCAATGGAACAGCATGGTGGTCACTGTTCGGCCCTATACCTGGCTGAGCTGGCTGAGGTAGCGCAGTGCCTCTGTGTTGTTGGGGGCCATCCGGTATACCTCACGATACTGGAGCAATGCCGCCTGCAGCCGCCCCACCCGCCGCAGGCAGCCTGCCACCATCAGCGCCCACTTGCTCTGCAGGTAGAGCAATATGCTGCGGCAACAGGCTTGGAGCTGGGAAGTGGCATGCTAGAATAGGCAGGGTGGGAGCCGCCTCAACTCATTGGGGGCCTGCTCCTCGACGCATCTCCACCCTCACTCACATCACGCGGCTGGACACGCCCAGCAGCCTCAAAGAAGGGTATAGCTGCTAGATAGTCGTGGCGGCGCACATGGTGTGCCCCCAGCCATGACACCGTGTCCAGGTTGGTGCGATCAGCAGCGAAGGCCTCAGTGTGGTATGCAAGTGCCTCGGCCTCGTCCCCTAGCCTGCAGTGCGACAGCGCGAGGAAGGGAGGCCCAGTCAAAGGCCCTCTTGCATATTGCGCTTCAGTGAGTGCTGGAGGCCTTGAATGCAATGCTTCCCTGCACAGCGTGCAGAAGAGCAGAATACATGTCACTCACTTGGCATGCAGTGTGCCAAGCCGGGACAGCACTGCCGAATCATGTGATGCCTTGGTGAGCAGGCGGGTGAGCCAGTCCACAGCCCGAACCGAGTCCGCCAGCTCGTCACACAGCTCTGCTGCCTGCCACATGGCTTCTGCGTGGCTGGGGTTGGCATGCAACAGCCGCTGCATGAGCAACAACGCACGATCCGGCAGGCCAAGAGACCGGCAGGCCAGCCCCCCATTGAATAGTGCTTGCAGGCAGGCGTCATCTAGCTGCAGCGCGTCCTCGTAAAGCTGCATCTCACAGGGCATGGAGGGGGAGGGGGCGGTCCCACTGGCATCAGAAGTGTACAGATGCATCATGAGCCGGTCTCATGATGGCCATGTCCACGCAGGCAGACACCGACCTGCAATGCCGCCTCTGCCTGGCCATGCCCCATGTGCACGTTGCCTCGGCTGACCAGTGCAGCCGCACTGCCGGGGTCTGCCTCGCAACAGTAGTCGCCATACCCTGCTGCTGTCTCCAGCTGCCCCTCCAGCAGCGACAGCATGGAAAGATTGACTGCGGCAGCGGCGCGCTGCCTGCTGTCGCTGCGCCCGAACTCTTTCAGCAGCACCACCGCGGCTGCATACTCCTTGCGCGCCAGGTGCTCATTGGCCTTGGCCAGTTGCACCTCGCTGGCCAGAGCGCTGTAGGATGACGTGTTCAACTGCGCCCGGCACCAGTCAAAGCCTGTTGACCAACTGGTGCCATGAAGCAGCGGGGCGATGAGCCTGGAAGCCGCGAGTACGTAGCCCTCTACCTGTGCCTGCTTGGTCTCCTGCTGCACACGCAAGGTATCTGGCTCTCTGGCTCTGCTTAGCAGTCCCTGCAGTCCCTCTTCCTCGCTGCCTTCCTCCCCCAGTACGTCATCTGCATACCCCGGCACCTGCAGGGCAGGATGGTGCAACCGCAGCAGCAGGAGATGAGTTGAGAATGGCAGGGATGAGGAGGCCTCTATTTCAATAAATCGGCCACATGAGCCTATGCAATGCAGGCACAAGGAGGGGGCGCAATGCCTGCCGTGCAGGGGAAGGCAGCAGTACCAAGGTGGGGAGACTGCTACCGAGCCCTGACCTGCAGCAGCTCGAGAAAGCTCTGGCGCATGAGCTCAGCGTCCCCCGCCGCTGCGGCACACAATACCAGGTTAAACGCTGTTTGATGGTCGGCGCCGTCCTGCATGACTGCTTGGAAGGTGTCTGTAGCCTCCTGGTATCGCCCCGACCGCACAAAGGTCAGCCCGATGTTACGTGCGGTGTCAAGGCGCAGGCGGCGGAAGGGCGGGGGTGTGGCATCCAGCGCCATGCGGAACTGCTTCACTGCCCGGGCATAGTCCTGCTGCCGGTAGTGGATAGCCCCCATGTTCAGCCGCAGCCAGCCTGCCTGCAGGAAGGGGAGGCATGCGCCATTGTTGCTTACGTCGGCATAAACTGCCGCAGAGTGCTGCTAGCATGACATAGCCAAATTAGCCTGTGTTCAGCTGCGGGAGCTGGCACCGCACGGCAGCATACTGGCGTGTCTACCATCAATAGCAGCCACCAAACGGAGGGCACAGACCACGGCACACCGACGTACCTGCGGGAACAGCCTGCTCCGCAGGACCTGTTCGTAGATGACCAGCCCATCAGCCAGCTGCTGGTTGGCTTCATAAGCAGCGGCCAGCCCCAGGCTGACTGCAAATTTGAGGTCGAGGCTGATCTGGTCGCCCCACCCCGATTGCTCCAGCATGGCGCAGAGGCGCTGCTCACGCCGCACTGCGTCTCGCGCCGCATCCACGCCGCCGCTGGTGTCACCTGCCGCCACACGTGACGCTGCGTCCTCCAGCAGCTGGTGCACGCGCTCCTCCAGGGCCTCGCACTGGTCCCGAGCCGCAACTGCCGATGCCATGCTGCCAGCGAGGGGAGCGGCAGTGCCCGGAGGGCCGCTGCGGCCGCCTGTGCCCCCGCTACCTGCCCCAGCCAGAGGGGACGAGTAGCCAGCCGCCTTGCTGGAGGTCATAGGCCGTGCAACAGCTGCCCCTGCCGCACCCTGCCCTGCCGCTGTCCCTGGGCGCAGCCCCGCCTTGGACAGCAGCACCGAGGTGCGGGGCGGAAGCCCAGTGTCACTTGGAGGAAAACTACTGCCCAGCGGCGTGGCCGCGCGCTGCGGAGGGGCTGACATGTTTTTCTTTGTAGCGGAGGCGCTTCGCAGGCGGTCAACGCACCGCTCCCCTCTTCCCCTTTGGCTGGGTGCTGCCTTGGGCCGAATTGGTAACGTTCTTTGGACGCATGGGCAGAAACTGGAGAAAGGGCGCCGACAAAGTAACGAGGCGGTACGCCAGTGCATGCTGCGCCGCGCTATGCTGCGCCTGCATCGGCTGCGCAAGCAGTTAGCGAACCTGGAACACGAATGTTCCAGAATTGTTGCTGTGTTTTGCCAACAGATGTTGCCTACGGGTTTGCTCCCGACGTTGCTGCTGGTGCTGGGGGCCAGCGTAGTAGCCTCAGCCGTTCCTGAGCAGCAGCAGCAGCGAGAGCAGCGGCTCTTTGCGGCCGCCCCCTCGCCACACTCGTGCGGGGAGGTTCCGGTGGACGGTCTGGAGCTCTCGCCGGCCGAGCAAGAGCTGCTGCAGTATATTTGCTGGCCGCAGGAGGGCGCTGCGCTCGCTGAGGCCCTCCTGGAGGGTGCAGCGGCGCCGCGTGGCGTACCCGCCGGCGTGAACTGCACCGTCGTGCAATGGTGAGCTGCCACCGTTTTTAGAGCCCACACCCTGCCCAACGGAGCGTGTATTTGACACCAGGTTGCGCTGGTGAGGGAAAAACACTCCACACCCACTGCCGCACACCTTGCGCAGGTGCGATGCCGATGTGTGTACCGACGTGTGCGCGCGGGGCAGCGTGGTGGTGGAGCCCTGGCTAGCACACGCCATCAAGCAGCAGACCAAGCTGGTGCAGACGTTGCCGCTGTGCTACCAATTCCTGGTGAGTCAGTGGTGGCATAGCACCATCCCTCGACAGGCACACCGTGCTCTTCTTGCTTTGCGTACTCTGGTTCTGATGCTAGCAAGTGTTGGTTGCTCCCGCTGAATGCATCTTTACACACATTAACTTGTGCAGCTGGGCACACACAACTCTGCCATCTCACTAGCAGACGGCTACGGCAACTTGGACGACTACTTCAGAGGTGTGCTGCTGCTAATCGGCAAAGTGCTACGGGCGGTCAGCTGCTGGAACTCTTTTTAACCTCGTTTAGACGCCTTCCTTGTGCTGTGTAGGTTTTTTCAAGTACATCAAGTGGGCGCTGCCTGGGTTTGCCGATGCACCGCTGCATACCAACAACCAGCTGCTCAGCCTCACCGACCAGCTGCGCCTGGGTGTGCGCGCTCTGGAGCTGGACACGCACTGGGTGGGTGGCGGCAGCTGGGAGAGAGTGTGAGGGTGTGGTGGATTGGGGTGATGGTGGTTGAGCGAGCGCATAGGCGGGCGGGTGGGAGGTGCGGTGGGGACAGGAGGGGTGTGAGAGCTGGCGATGGGACCTCGTTTGGCAGTGCTCGTTTGGCAGTGCTGGCGGCTGGCGCTTTTGATGCCAGCTGCTTCCTTGGCGCAGGTGGGCGGTGTGATGCGCATTGCACACTGCGGCGGGCTGCACGTCCCCCAGCTGAACAAACTTATCGAGGCTCTAAATTTTGTGGCGCGTCTGCTTCATCGCTCCATCCGCTGGGACACTGAGACGCTGGGCTGCATGCCCTCCCTCTCATCCATCCCTTCCATGGAGCAGCGCTTACTCACCGACGCGATGCAGGTGGGCATCGCAGGCAGGAGAGTGTTGAGCAGCTGTGTTTGTACCATGTAACCAAGGGTGGCAGATGGGTGACTGCCCCAGCTGTCACACCTTGGGCGGTTCAATCTTCTCCCTGCTTGCGCTGCCTGTGGGTGCAGGAGGTGAAAGATTGGATGGAGGAGTCGAGCAATGCTGACGAGTTCCTCGTCCTCTATTTTGATGACCAGCCCAACCTGAAGACCTGGGTGCGCTGCTACTACCCACCCCAGCGCGTCTCGTTGCTCTGTTTTGAGGCACTTTCGCTCTCAGCCTGATGTCCTAAATTCACCCATCACTGCTTAGCCATTGGAGCCCGTGAACAAACCTGCTGATGTGCCACCGCCTATCATGGCTTGATTCGCCGTCGGCGGTTGTGCAGGGCGTGGTGGGCAACCTGCTGGATGACATCCTCTCCGTTTTCCCCCGCGACTGGATCTTCTCTACTGAAGACAAGGTCGCAGCGGGCGATCATTGGCCCTCGCAGCAGCAGGCATGCACAATCACTGTGTTTGGAAGGCTGCACGCACACCCTGGTGCAGGGCTGTTGCCCCACTGAGCCTTCCTCATTTTTCTGCTCGTCAAAGTGGATTCGCACCCGGCAGCATGGTTCTGCCCTGGCCCCATGTTTATCATGCCCAAAATCTCTCTGCGCCATCTCACAGTCAGTATTTGCAACACCTCATCCACACCACCTTGTGCAGATGCTGGAGGCGGGCAAGCGGCTGATGCTTGTCAGTGGCACAGACTATGGGGACACGATGGAGCCGCTAATCTTTGGACGTGGCAAGGCGCTATGTGGGTGGAACGAGCCGCCGCTCGCCAGCGTGGACGGCACGCCTGAGTGCCTTATTAATCAGCAGGGCATGATTGAGGTGGGCGGGAGCGCGATAGGGTGTTTGGGCCGCTGGGGGCATTGCTTTCGTCCCCTACTCCTTTTGCGTGTTGTGTGCACGCTCACCAAAATGGACAGGCCCTGGCAGAGATCGAATTTCACGGTCCCATGCCCTTTTACTCCTGCGCCTATGTCTCTGCAGCCGCAGCCGCTGTTTGACGGCATGCTGACACGCGTGATCAGCTGTGAGCTACAGTATGGCCCGATGAACTGCGACTTTGCGTATCGCGGCACCAACGACCCCGTGTTTGATGAGGCCACGCTGCCGCCGGTGAGGGGGTAGTGGGCAAGGGCGGATTGCAGCAGCAGTGCGGGGAGGCAATGCTGTTTCTTGGTGTGAAAAGACCAGCTGCCTGGCAGATTTCCAGTTCCTTTGCACTCAACGGTGGTGAAGGCTACATCGTGCTGCTTCTGTTGCTGCCTAGATCCGCGTCCGCACATTCTGTTTTTCGTGTCTCCGCTGCAGGTGACAGGCTGCGGCCTCAACATGCCCTCGCCTGACCTGTTGACGCCCGACCGCGCTGCCGCCACGATCTGGACCTGGGCCCCTGGCCACCCATTTGACCCAACCTCGGAGCTGGGGCTAGGCGACAGCCAAAGCACCAGCGCTGGCGTTGCGCCGCCGCGGCTGCTGGCCGCTGCACAGATGGGGACAGAGGCGGCAAACTGCGGCATGCTGAGTGCGGGTGATGCACGATGGCGTGCAACTCCATGCGCCATGGCAGCCCTGCCTTCCGCCTGCCGCCAGCGCAACGCCAGCCTGAACGCAACAGACGGTGGTTGGGTGCTGGATGCCAGCCTGCCCCGCGGCAGCTGCCCCACGGGCGCAGAGTTCGACCTGCCTCGCCACCCCCGAGAGAACTACCTTTTAGCAGCGGCTCTGCAGCGTGCTGGTCACGAAGCCGCCTGGCTGCCTGTGCATGGGCCTGAGTGGGACACGGCTGGCCTGCCTGCCAAGCAGCAGCAGCCGCAGCCCACCAACAAGCGGCGCATTCTGATGCACGTGGGGTTACCAACCGCCTGTGGGCTCAGTTTCATCGTGCTGGCCAGCATGGTGGCGGGGCGCCGCATGCCACAGCGCAGGCCCTGCACTGAGTACCAAGCGCTGGGCCAACCGTGAGAGTGCCCAGCCCACCGTATTCTGCTCGTGTACCATGGTCTGTTTGATTGCACCCATTTGCACCTCTCAGTTTTGGCATGTTTTGCATGCATTAATGCTCCATTTTTACAAGCACGCACTTGTAAGCCCTGAAGGCGCTTCAGCTCTCTCATTTCTCGACAGCCAGTCATCTCATAACACTGCGCCGCACAATTCTGCCCGACCTACCCAGGCTGTGGTGGTGTTCCTCGGTGCGAGCCGACCACCAATCCAATGCATAACACCTGCATGATCAGCACAGGACGCCAGTCTTGAGCCTTTACGCAACACTGTCTATGCTAAGCAGATGCAGCCCCATGCACCTGCAGTAGAGCCAACCCTGCAGCGAGAAGCTCGCCAGTGCTTGTCGGCTGGCTGTGGCAATCTCACTAAACAGTGCCCTCGGGTTGGCGCCCTCGGGTACTGCTTCTGCAAATCAAAAAGGCAAATGGCAAGTGTGACCTGGCTCAAGAGCACTATCCAAGGCCAAAGCTACAAGGCTCCTCCTTGCATCCACGCACCCTGCCCTAGTACTTGCCGCCATGTAAATCCCCGCATCTGCCTGTGCCGATATTCGCTGCATGCTCGATGCAGTGCGCAGTGCACCAGCACTGAAAGTAGCGAGGCAACCAAGCCCAGCAGGAGGATGGGCAGGCAGCGGGTGTATGCCACCAGCAGCCAAGTCACCACCGTTGTGAGAAACGATGTGTTGTCCTTGACCGCCGCTGCTGAGCGAGACGGTCGCTGCTGCTGCTGCCTGGCATTAGCTTCCTGTTGCTGCTGTAACGTCACGTTACTGCTGTAGCGTTCCTGCTGTAGCATTGCAGAGCGGTACATGCTGTACGCTACCGCCGCCGCGCCCAGCAGAGCTTGCGGCCGCAGGTAAAAACTGCCTAGTAGTATGCCCACTGCCAGGCGCATATAATTTGGAAAGAAACATTCAAAGTTCTTCTGAGGTGCCGAAGGGAGGTGCACAAGGGAGGTGCACGAGGGAACGTGCAAGGGTTAATGACATCACAGGGCATCCTCATATGATCGCACAGCAATCACCTCCATACGTTCCCGCAGCATGTCTAAACAAGCCGGCAGATCGTATGTTCGGTCCAGTTCCTCATGTTCCCTGCCCCTCCAGAACAATGACCAGCTTCTGGGTGCCTGGTTTAACTTGTCTAGAATGGCTGAGAATCGGGGAATGCTTTCTGTCAACCCGGCCGCCAGTAGCTGGTGCAAGCCTGGCACTGTTGCTGAGCCGTCGAGCGGCACCCCTGGCGCCATTGGGCTACGGAGGAGCATAGCAGCGAATTGTACACGTGCTGCTTTGCGTTTGATTCCTGGCGCTCTGAATTGGCACAGCAGTGCCAGGCGGTGCGCAACGCGGCGGAGGCTGTCCCGCCGACTGTACCGGAAAATGTGTCAGAGCCCAGGGCTGCCAAGAGGTATTTGAGCCAACCCGTGTCGCATACGGGTCGGGGCAAATTGAACCCGTTTGGGGACACTGTTAGGGTTGCGCCAGGCGAGGCCCGGCGAGGTCAGACGGCGCTCCCACGACCGTTCCTAGGCCATGCCTGGGTTGGATGGGCCCTAATCCTCTCTAATAGTAGGGGAAAACCGCTCACACGCTTGATTTGCCGCAAAATCAAGCGTACGACCCTGTACTGCAACGGTTCTCGGCTGGCCAAGTTTTAGATCCTGCCCGTGTGGGGAACGGTCCCAGCCCAACTAACCCGTCGATCGAGCAGGTTTTGAGCCGGAGAACGGGCCAGGACCCGTGGCACGGGCCGACTTGGCAGCCCTGACAGAGCCACGGAAATGTTTCAGAATACCTCAGTCAGTGCGATTGTGGTATTCTCATAAGCGTCTACAGTAATCGCAGAGACTCACGCAACATGATATCCAGTATCTTGCCAGTGTGGACACAGCAGCTGTGTCAGTGACCCCCTGTGCCTGAATTCACGCACAGCTGGAAGGAGTTCCTGGAGAAGACCCACTGCTTCACTCCCGTGTCCATCGACCGCTGGCAACCCAGCCCCATTGCATGCGCAGTCGCTCCCACAACGCCCTGCGGTTGCGGCACCGAATGGTGTGAAAGTCAGCTTTGGAACCTTGCCACCGCGCTGGGGCCCCTATAGGGCACAGTGCATGCCAAGGCGTGTTACCCACCCGAAGGAGTCGAGCGCGGGCCGCACGTCCAGATGCATCGCCACTGGCATGTCGAGTCGCGGCGCAGCGTTGTAGAAGTCAATAACATATCTGCGGACACCAAAAAGCTCGAGTCAGTCGTGCAAAGATTGACGAACAATGATTGCCGTGTCGGCGCGGGTACCAACCTGACTTCCTGGCCACACCGGTCCACGATCCAGTCATGACGATCGAAGGGCAGCTTGTATCCTAGCAGGTTGAGAAGGCGTGCCTTGGGCGAATAGTCCTGCGGCCGCCCCCTGCTAACAGTTTGGCACGGAGACCCTGGTGACCCAACAGACATTAAATCCAGCAGTGCACAAGAATGATGGGCGTGCAAACAGAGCAGCAGCAACTGCAGCAGCATTAAGCAAGCGGGAAGCTGTCCTCGTTCAGGGACTGACCTGAACTTCACCAGGCGTGGCCCGCCGCACCCCTCTGCCGGCCCCTTGATCGCCTCCCAACGAAGGATCTCTCGCCAAGCACGCTCATTGACTGCGCTTCCCGCGTTGCCCAGCAGCAGAGGAGCGATCTTGCTGCTGTGCAGATCTAAAGCTGCGGCCTCCAAAGCACTCGCCAGCAGGACACGATTTTGCAAGACAGCGCCAGCCAGGTACCTGCATTGTGAATGGCCACCACTGCCGCCATGTCGTCCTCGCTGGGTGTCCATCCCTTGCGCTTCATGGCATTGTAAAACATCTGCTCCGAGGGGTACACCCACACCTGCTTGCGTTGTCCGGGACACATACGAACGATTGTGCAGCATTCCTGCGGGCTGCACCCAACCCCAGTGCTGCTGCTGAAAGCGGCGATACATGAAAGGATGGGAAACGGGGCTTCAGGATACCCCAGCACACAGTACCCAAAAATACTACGCAAGGTGTGTACGCCACGCACCTCGCCATTCCTGACGGGCTGCTGGTGCGGCGGCAATGCTACAGCGCTGCTGCCCGTGGGTATGTTGCTGTGCTGCCGCCAGGTCGACAGCGGCTTGACCTGGCCAGGCAGTGGCTCGTTCGCCGATGGCGGCATTTGGTTGGCACCAACTACTGGGCAGGAGCCGGCATATGGTGCGGGCGGAGAACCAGCTGCGCCGGCAGGAGAGCCTCCCCCCATCACTGGGCAGCCTGCGCAAAAGCAAACAGCGGTGAGGGACCTGCGGTGCGGCCGAGAAGACAACGCTTTCGAACCTCACCTGAGGAAGCGTGCACCTGCATAAGTTGCTGCTGCTGCTGCAGCTGCTGCTGTTGGGGAGAGCCAGATGCTGCTGCTGCAGAAGAAGCGGCAGTCATGGCGAGCTGTCCTCGTCTCGCAATGGGGCAAGAGGACATCCTCTTGGCAAAATTGGCGCGTGACAACTCAGTCCTCTCAGCCCTTCCACCCAGCCTTCCACCTCGGCACCCACAACTCAAGCCTCAAGAATCCATTCAATAATCCATAGGTAGTGAACGCAGACCACCGCTGCCACGCCCGGACTGGTTCTGTGGGCCAAGCCACCACAAAACAAGCTACCACCACAGAGCCCCAGCAGGACCCCCCCACAGCCTCCCCGGCACACTAGATAGGCTCGAGCGTTGCATCAGCTCCCGCCCATGCTTACCCGGGCCCTTGGTAGCACCGCAGCCGCGGTTAGTGCCACCGCCGCCAGCGGCGCGTTCTGCTCCGCCGCTCGGTCCGGGCAGGTAGGAGGTTGTTGCAAGTGGCTTTGCAGGATGCCATCTTGCCTCCACTGTACTCAGCGGCCATGCTGTTCCTGCCAGCAGTCGCCAAACCGTCTTTTTACATGCCGCTGCAGAGTGGCCTGTTCTGTGCGGCGCTGCGGTTCCGCAGCCTGCGTGGCACCGGCGTCTCAGTACCGCTGCGTGCGTTGAGCATCCTGCGACAGAGTTCGGGGGCGCTGCGGCGTCCAGGGCAGCAGATGGCACGTGTGTCTGCGGTGGCTGCCCCTGCACAGGTCTGGCGTTGGTGCCAACTTGCGGGTGCTTGCTGCCAAGTTGTGGGTGGCCCCAAACCATTGAGCTGTTAGGAAAGGCAGGGGTCGCCACTGCAAAGCCCTGTGTGCAAACTGCTGGTTACTGCTCTTTTTGTGAGACATGCAGGCTGAAGCACAGCCGGTGCCACAAAAGCTGCATGGGTTCTCATTGGTGGAGCAGCAGTACGTGACAGAGTATGCCTCGCAGGTGGGGCTCCCATAGCGATGGAGAGCCGTGCGCCGGCTGCAAGTGGGCATGCATGTAGCGACATGGGTTCTCAGGCAGTGCTGTTTCTGTGTCTTCCACTGCTTATTTTTTCCTGCACATTCTTGCGCATCAGGTGCTGATGTATCGCCATGACAAGACGGGGGCCCAGCTCATGAGCGTCATCAACTCGGATGAGAACAAGACCTTTGGCGTGACCTTCAGGTGCGCGATGGCTCGGTGGCTTGGCGCCTAGTGCACTGCTTTCCCTTTTAGGGAAAGGCTACATGTTGCAATGCAGCAGCTGTGCATGGCCCCAAATTGATGTGAATGATTGCCTTCTTGCCAAACGGTGCAACACCTTGCAGGACGCCAGTGGCCAACAGCCGAGGGGTGCCACACATTCTGGAGCACAGCGTACTTTGTGGCAGCCGCAAGTACCCAATCAAGGTGTGGTGCCGGCTGAGCTGGACCATGCGCATGTGCCTTTTGAGCATTTGAGCCATACAGTTGCTGGAGGGACTCTTTGGGTCAACACACAGGCCACCTCGGTTCTTTCTCTACTGCAGGAGCCCTTTGTGGAACTAATGAAGGGCAGCCTCAACACCTTCCTCAATGCCTTCACCTATCCGGACAGAACCTGCTACCCGGTATGTGCTACCCGGTATGCACCTGTGGCCCAAAGCTTACCAGCTGTGCTGGGAAGCTTGTTGTCCACTTTGCACACGGGTGCCTAGCAATGAGACAGACACTGTCCAGCTATTCTCTTCGGCACAACAACCATCCTTTCCGCCCAGTTGAGTTTCCATGTCTGCCCACCCTTGCAACCTGGATTCCCCATTCCTGCAGGTGGCCTCCATCAACCTGCAGGACTTTTACAACCTTGTCGATGTTTACCTAGATGCCGTCTTTCACCCGCGATGTGTGGAGGTGAGGATGCGGCCATTGCTGGAACGTGTGTGAACCGGGTGGCTGTACCACCAGGGTGTTGCGCAGAGAGCCACGTATGGGCAAGAAGCTGTCGACAGCCATGTGTGTGCTATTTATGCTTCTTTCTTAATCCATCTTGCCGATGTCGCGCAGGATCCTCGCATCTTTGCACAGGAAGGCTGGCACTACGAGCTGGATGACAAGGAGGTGAGGGATTTGCTTCGTTTGCGTTTGTATGACAGACACTGGCATGTCACGCTTTGACGCAGACCCTGGCAGAAGCTCTCCACTCACCATGCCGTGTTGCCAGCTCGGTTTCGCCTTGTGCAGGCCCCATTGACCTACAAGGGTGTTGTCTTCAATGAGATGAAGGGCGTCTACTCCTCCCCGGATGCCGTAAATGGTCGCGTCACGCAGGTTGGTCGTTGTCTTTCTTTGTTTTATGAGGTTGTCAACAGGAAATATACGGAGCATTGATTTTGGCTAGGGGTGTCCAGCCAGCTCTTGCTGGACAAACTGCACATCCCAGCCACCGTGGACACTTGAGGGCTTACGACTTGAAAATGTTTTTGATCTTTAAACCTCCCGCCTACTACCTTCTGCCACAGTCCGCACTGTTCCCAGACAACACATATGTTGAGGACAGCGGCGGCGACCCCATCGCCATCCCTGACCTCACTTTTGAGGAGTTTCAGGTGGGTGCGTGCTGTGCATATTGGTGCTGTTTTCAAGGAACTGCATGTTGAAGGAGAGCAGGCAGCCAGGTTGCTTGGCTGCTGTGATGGTGCCGCTTAGCTTGCAACACCCTGTTTCGCGTACAGATCCCTGCCTGCCTGCCCGTTTGCAGGCCCTATGTTGTCTCTTGACTGCTCCTAATCCTGCCTCTCCCCTTCATTTCTGCCCCACAGAAATTCTACTCCGACTACTACCACCCCTCCAATGCCCGCTTTTGGTTCTATGGTGACGACCCTGGTGCGTGGGGCGTCAGGCCCAATCAGGCGCAGCAGCGCGTTGGAAGCCTAGTGCTATGCGATGTGCGGGCAAACACCCCCATTGCTGCTAGTTGTCTTCTCACCAGCTATTTGTTTCTGCGGCGTGCTGCAGTGGAGCAGCGGCTGCGGCTGGTGGATACCTACCTCCAGGAGTTTGAGGCGCGCCCAGTGGACTCCTCAGTAAATCCCCAGCCATTGTTTAAGGTTGGCGTCGCAAGCCGGCTTTGCCTGCATGGCCGGTCTGGGGACTGCAAGCAGGCAGAGACAGGCATGTGCAGGCGCTCTTGGCTTGTACCTCGCCTGGCCACGACGGGTCGCTTTGCTGGCTGAGGAAGTGCATAATGGCTGCACTGCCTGTATATAGGAACCGCGGTGTGTGGTTGCCCACTACGCGGCGGGCGAGGGCAGTGACAGCAGCTGCGAAGCACGTGCCTTTGTGTCGCTCAACTGGGTGCTGACCGAGCAGCCGCTGGACCTGGAGACAGAGCTGGTGGGTGGTTTGGTCACTGGCATTGTTTATTCTGCGGCGGGGTACGAGGCATGTGCGTCTTCTTCACGACACAACTCGGCTCATACTGAACCACGCTTTTCTCAACCAGCGCAGGCGCTGGGCTTCCTCAACTACCTTATGCTGGGCACCTCCGCCTCGCCACTGCGCAAGGCCCTCAACGACAGCGGGCTGGGCGAGAGCATCATTGGGGGGGGCGTAGAGGATGAGCTGAGGCAGCCCGTCTTCTCGCTGGGCCTCAAGGTGTGCTCGGTGGCAGTGGCAGGCGGCCGCCCACCAATGTTGCTGACCCTCCTGACCAACCCTCTCACCTGTCGTTCCTGTGCCCTTCGCATTTTGTTTCCTGATTTGCAGGGCGTGAAGGAGGAGGACGCAGCCAAGGTGGAGGCCCTGATCCTGGATACCCTGGAGCAGCTGGAGAAGGAGGGGTTCAGCCAGAGCGCGGTGGAGGCGGCCGTGAACACCATCGAGTTCAGTCTCAGGTGGGAATCAGCATTGGGATGGGATGGAAGACACAGCGGTTCGCAGTGTTTTTAGGCGCTGGATGTCTATCTAGTCTGTGCATTGTTGCCTGCCCGTCATTTGAGGCATCACAAAGCGCCTGGCTGCTGTCGCTTACAGTGCTGCTGCCCACTGCTGCCGCTTCCCTGGCTGCAGGGAGAACAACACCGGCCGCTTCCCGCGTGGCCTCTCCCTTATGCTGCGCTCCATGTCGGCCTGGATTTACGACCGCGATCCTTTCCAGCCCCTCAGATGGCAGGACGACCTGGAGAAGTTTAAGGCGCGGCTGGCACGAGGGGAGGACGTGTTTGGTGAGTCTATGCTGAGCGATGCATTTCATTTGCAGAGGATGGATGATCAGCGCTGCAGGGCAGCAGGATGCCGTGCCGGAAATGACCCAGTCACTCAACCAACATGGCTGAGCCCCTGCACTGTACGCGATGGCCACGTATTGCTGATGCTGTTCACCAACACAGACTCCCCCCCCCCCGCCCCAACACACTGGCTGCAGGGCCCCTCATCCGCAAGTACCTTTTGGACAATGGGCACCGCGTGACTGTGGAGCTGCGCCCTGACAGTCAGCTGGGTGATTCCATTGCGCAGACGGAGCAGCAGCGTCTGCAGGTGGGCGGGAGGACCTTCGCATGTCTGCTTGCGATGCAGACTGTCGAATGGGGGGAGTTGGGGTGCCATGTGACTATTTTGCCGCCATTTCCGCTATGCCCAACCGATCTTACTCTCGTGATTTCCCGCTGCAGGCAACGCGCGACGGCATGGGCAAGGGCGATCTGGAGAAGGTGGTGGCCTCCACACAGGTGGGAGAAAGAGGGCTTCAGAAGGGTGGGAGAAGATGGGTTGGCAGGACTCAAGGATGTTGCCCACTGGGCTGAGTGCACCTTGGGTCAAATGGCAACCGTTACCAAGTTGCCCCCACCCACTATCCACCACCCACCCACACCACTCAAAAGAAAACTTCGACCATCGACGAGAAACACAAGAAAACATCTATCTTTCCTGTACGCGGTTTTGGTTGCTGTGTGGCGCAGGAGCTCAAGGAGCGACAGGAGACGCCTGACCCGCCCGAGGCCCTGTCCTGCATCCCTTCGCTGCGCCTGGCGGGTGAGTCCCAGCAGGCAGTGCGAGGGTCCGCATAGATGCTGCAATCGGCTTCCTCACTGCATTTCTGATCGAGGTGTAGTCGCAGTTGCCGCTACCTCATCACCTCCCTTCCCTTGCCTGTAGACATCCCCAAGACGATCACAACCATCCCCACCACCATAATTGACGCCACAGGTGAATTTTACAGCATTCGCATGTTTTTTTGTTGGAATTCGAACAATGTCATACGGATTTTGCAGGTGGTGCCACCATCCTGTCCCACGACCTCTTCACTAACGACGTCCTCTACCTGGACATCGCCTTTGACATGCGCCCTCTGCCGCGCGACCTTCTCCCCCTGATGCCCCTCTTCTGCCGGTGAGATACGTTGGCACGAACCGCTGAAGGGTTGGTAGACATTAAATGGCAGACTTCTGTGGCATGCAAGGGGGCCCAAAGCAAAACTCCTTTGCGTTTCAAGCTCTCACATACATGGTATCTTGTTTGCGCCACCGCCCTCGGGACAGCTGTCTCACCCAGATGGGCACCAGCACCGAGAGCTTCATTGAGCTGACAGAGCGGATTGGGTGCAAAACCGGCGGCCTCTCTGTGTCCCCCTCTGTCATGAGCAAGAAGGGCAGCGAGGAGCCACTGGCCTACGTCACGGTGAGGCTCCCGCATGCCCACCTGCACAGCGCCGACTATAGCGTGGTGAAAGGCTGAGAAAATGGAGTGTTTTGCCTGTGTTGCGAACATACCCTGCCTTTCAAACCAGCAATGCTACAACCTACATGCCTGCCGCTGTTGGGTGCAGGTGCGGGGCAAGGCAATGGCTAGCAAGGCTGGCGACATGCTTGACATCGCTCGAGACATCCTGCTCACTGCTCGCCTGGATGACTGTGATCGCTTCAAGCAGGTGCTGTGTTTTGGATCAGCTGCCACTATGCATCGAGCTGGACTGCATCATGCTTGGAGTTGGTCTGATACATTGGGACTGCGAATGGTAATCCTGGGGATGACTGCTCAGTCTGACTTCTGAGCGATTGCCCAGCCCCATTCTCTGGGCTCCCATCGGATGTTTGCTGCCTGCCCCTGCCTTGATGCAACATCGTTGCCTACAGATGGTGCTGGAGACCAAGAGCAGCCTAGAGGCAGGAGTGGTAGGAGCGGGGCACAGCTTCGCGGCCAGCCGGCTGGACGCGCAGCGCAACATGGCGGGCTGGGTCAACGAGCAGATGGGTGGCATCTCCTACCTGGATTTCATTCGGAGGCTGGTGGGCCGCGTGGAGTCGGACTGGGAGAGCGTGCAGGCGGATCTGGAGGCCATCAGGTGCGGTGTGGTGCGCATCAATGCCAGAACACAGTCGGCCTGCCTGCATGGCATAACGGCATGGATGCCCGCACCAACGCCCCCTGCATTCACGACTTGTTGCGAGCAGAAAAGCGCTGCTGCAGCGGCAGGGAGTGCTGCTCAACATGACAGCCGATGAGAACACGCTGAGACTGGCCACGGGTGAGCTAACTTGTTTTGTTACCCTCCTCTGTGTTTGTGTTTGTTCCGGCTGCCAGTTGATTTATGTCAACAAAAGATTGAAACAGAAAGATAGTATTGACCTGCCAAACAGAACGGTAGCAACCTGCCACGTGCCTGCCTGGCTGCCCGCAGCCCATGTGGATGCTTTCCTCGACTCCCTGCCCAGTGTCTCGGGTACGGCAGCAGCCTGGAATGTGCCGCTGCAGCGCCAGAACGAGGCGCTCGTGGTGCCCACGCAGGTGGGCAGGCGGGGGGCGCGCTGTCAAGCCTGGCGGGCTTGCTTGGGCTTGCCCGAATGGATGTGTAGCTGGGCCGACACATGCTGTTCCTGTCGACCTCCTGCCTCCTTGGTTTATGTTCATCTCCTTTGATGACTTTAATGTGCGTCTGCTCTCCTGCTTCCACAGGTTAACTATGTGTGCAAGGCTGCCAATCTTTATGAAGATGCCGGCTATCAGGTGCGGGGATTGGTGCGGGGATTGGGGTTGACGGCAAGGCGCACTCCCTCCCTTTGTTTTCGAGGTTTCACTCTGCTCATCTTTTTGCAATGACACGCAGCTGTCGGGTGCCAGCTACGTGATCAACAAGTCGCTGTCTACCAGCTGGCTCTGGGATAGGTGGGTGTGTAAGGGGTGCAGTGAAATCTGAAGGGGCATAATGCAACGTTCAGGGAGCATAATTCTGCCTTTGTCGATTGTTAAACAATTCTGCGTTGGCGGCTGTGCCCATGCTGGCCGCGTGCAGGGTGCGCGTGGTGGGCGGTGCATATGGCGGCTTCTGTGACTTCGACACCCATTCTGGCATGGTGTGTGCATAATCATAGATTTGTGAGGAGTCGTTCTTTTTTCTAGGGCTGCTGCGACGAACTTTTCTCTCCAACACGTTTCTTGCCCCACCTGCTGGCTGGTTTCCATGCCCTTGATGCAGTTCACCTTCTCCTCGTACCGCGACCCCAATCTGCTAAAGACTGTTGATGTCTTCGACGGTGAGTTCCAGGCGGTGGCAGCAGTACGCTTGGAGACAGCCCTTAGGCACGGTCTGTAGCCTTGGGCTGGCTCTTTTGACTGGTGGAAGCTGGAATTCAGCGTGGCCAAGTGATTGCCCTGTTCCAGCTGCGTTGCCCTGCCCGTAGGCTGAGTGTGCCGTCCTTTGCTTTGTTCTTCTCCCGCAGGCACAGTAGATTTCCTGCGGGAGCTGGAGATGAGTGAAGATGAGCTGTCCAAGGCCATCATTGGCACCATTGGGGATATCGATGCCTACCAACTGCCAGGTCTTGGGAGGATGCCAGCCAGTGCGGCAGCCAGGGGGCAGTTAATTGCGGCTGACCCGCTTGACAGCAGCACCCGTAATCGCACTTTTGCTGTCCTCTGTGACTTGTGTTCCCCTGCTTTCCCTGCTTGTCGCCAAGTTGGGTGCTCTTGACGAGATTGCCCTGCATTGCATCTGTGCGGGCTTACATTGACGCAGATGCCAAGGGGCGCACCGCCTTCATGCGCCACATCCTGGGCATCACCGACGAGGAGCGCCAGCAGCGCAGGTGAGCGGGCAGGACGCTTTGCTCTGCCTCCTTCCTCTGTGTGTGTGAGGGCCGCATGGCACGCTTTACCCTGTGTGATGGGAGCCTGAACATCAGCGCTTGCTGCACGCGATGATTATTCCACCGTACTGCAATAACTCTCACCCTGGCTTGCAGGGAGGAGATTCTGGGTACCAGCGCGAAGGACTTTCGCCAGTTTGCCGACGTGCTTGCTGCAGTGCGCGACAAGGGGCACGTGGTGGCCGTCACCTCAGGTGGGTGTATCGGTGGGCACGTGGCCTGACCAGGCGGCCTGACCAGGTGGCCCCAGATATGCTTTGCGCTCAGGTGGCTTTTCATGGCAGCATGCGCCTGGGGTGGGTGCGGGGCAACATGCTGTGCTCCGCATCGATGAACACATCCCAGTTATTGCGAACGATATGTGCAGCTGACAAGCTGGAGGCGGCACAGGCTGAGCGGCCGGGCTTCTTTTCGGCGGTGAAGAAGGTGCTCTGAGTTTGGGGTGGTGCTAGCACTACCTTCCTCCATTATTGCATCTTTCTGTCATATTGTCTGATCTTACAGTGTATTGAACCTCGCTTTAAGATTTAAGAGAGTACCTTGCCTATACCTGCCGTAAATGATGCTCCCTGACCGTTTGTGCCGCCTTCTGCGCCCAGCTGCGGATGCTGTTGCTGCTGTGGTGGCTGCTCTGGGCTTCCGTGCTGTCTGCACTGGCTGGGCTCGCTTTGGTTCGTCCTGCTGTCCCCCCTCAGGGAGTCAGCCTCGGCTGGGCTCTCCTCAGGCGGTGGAAAAAGGGCCAGCAGTCTCCCAAGGCCTGCACAGGTACCTCGAGCAAAACTGCCAGTTACACCACCATGGGTTTGGCAAGCTGGCCACACCTCCCAGCGAGCTGCCCAGCCAGCATTGCTGACAATACACACAATACAGGCCAGCCACCGCCCCTCCTTCGCTAACCTCCTGGGCGGGCAGCTGGTGGACAGACACAAAAGCAACTGGGCCTCGTGCCGTGGCTGTGGTGCATTGCTGCGGGTCGGCGGCTGTGTCAGGCTTTGGAGCTGGCGGTCCGGCAGACTGCGCAATGCGCACAGCCGTACCTGCCTGCACCACTGCCACATGCGTCGGCTGCATTGCTGGGACCGGCACTGGTGCTGGCAGCGTTGGCGCCGCCCGTCCACCGGCTGGTTGTGCTAGCGCTGCTGCAAGCGCTGTGCTGACAGGTGCCCCTGCTGCTGCAGCTGCTGCGGGCGGCGGAGGCTGTACAAGGAATGGCATGTTGGGGCCTTCTTCCAAGCTGTTGCTGCGTGGTGCAGGCGGGTGCAGCGGCGCAAAGGAGACCCGTCGGTAGGACAGATTGCCGCTGCATGAAGATGTCTGATCACCGCTGCTGGCTGGAGAGAGCACCGTTTGCGATGGCGGAGCTCCAGCAGTGGCGCGTTGCGCGGCAGCCAGCTGGGCGCTTGCTGGCTGGCCTGTTGCGAATGCGCTTGAAGGCTGCAGCGCCGAGAACAGCGATGGTTGATAATTGCTGCTGGCGGGTGGCAGCGGGTGCTGCTCCTGGGCCCGGGCTGCGCCTGCCGCTGGATGCTGCCCTTGGTCCTGATGCGCAGCTGTATGCTGCATGCCACGTGGCGCGCCCGCCTCAATCGGCGCTGGGAAAGTGCCGGTAACACCAGACGGCGCTGTGCCGGTCCCTGGCGGTGCCTGGTGCAGCGTGGCCGTGAGGCTGAGTGACGTCATCATTGCTGATGGCTCATCGATGAGCTGGCTCAGTGTGGGCAGGCCACCAATGGAGGGAAGCACCGGCAGCATTTCGACTGAAGTGCATAAGGGGAGGCCATCTGCATCAACCGCCAGCTGTGAGCCCACAACCGGCGGCGGTGCAGCCCTGGGCGGCGCCATGGGGCCCTGCTGCTGCACGCCCTCCAATGCGGCCATCTGCTGCTGCAACAACAACGCCATGCCAAGGGGGGCCGGATGATGCGGCTGGTGCTGCAGCTGGCCAGGCCCTGCCAACTGCACAACTGGCACGAGGCCCGCATTGGCCGAGGCATGTTTCAGCGGTGCCAATCGTGGACCCACCACCACACCATACTCCCGCCAAGCTCTCTCCGTTGTGCCTGCGCTGGGCTGCTCCTGCTGCAGCTCCCCCGGCTTCGTCAGCACCTCAAGAAGGCTCTGGAGCAGGGGACCAAATTTTCAGGTGTTGGGCAAGCTGTGTCCTTGCACAACGCGTACCTCGTGCGTACCTGGTGCTCCCGGAGGGTGGCTACGCTGTCTTCAATAAACGGCTTGGCCCGCATGAGATGCATCGCCTCCTCCCCCTGGGGCTGTGCCTGCAACAGCGCGATAGCCGCGCGGCACTGATGTATACGCTGTCGAAGAAGCGGGGACACGGTACTGTGTTCGTCGAGGGCGAGCGAGGCCTCCAAAAAGCTCTCCACTTGGATCAGCTCCGGCAGCAGCTCTCTAAGCTGATGGTGCAGCGCCACAAGCTGAGCCATGTCTGCCATGCCAGACAAAAATCTGCTGTTGATTGGGGGAATTGGGGAGGGGGCGGGATAGTTGCAGCTCGTCGACACCGCGAGCGGGCGGCGGCCGGTGTACCGCTGGGCGGCGCACCAGACACTTCAGTCGACCAGACACTTGCAAGCTTAATGGAAGTGCAGGATTCGGCCGAGTGCAAGATTAGAGAGCGCGCAGGGTGACGTCCCGGCAGTAGAGCCCCCTTCACCTTCCCCTCACCCTCCTTCAGTACCTTCTTGCGTCGGTCACCCTCGGGACTCGAGTACTGTGCCTTGCCCGCGTTCACCACCTCGCGTTCACTGCATAGCCTTGCTCGCGTTCAAGTACCTGACACGAAGAAGAAGAAGAAGATGTGACCAAACACGGGTGACTGAATGTCGTGAGCCGAAAGAAGAAGAAGAAGACAGACGTGGGCTAGCTGGCAGATGCGCCGCTGTGTTGGCAGCGTGCGGTCACAGCGCGCCAGTCGCGCGCTGTGCGGTCGCCAGTCGTGTCGCCAGTCGTGTCGTGGAATACAAGGTTCTGGCACCCAGACCCACCTTGTGGGCATCAACCATGTCATGAGCTGCGGCCATGCCGCTTACACCTCATATGTGCAGCAAGGGGTGATCCCAGCCCCCTTGAAGTAGTGCCCCACCATCTCCACCAAACTGGGCGTGCACAGCTGTCTTCTGGTGGCAGTGTGGGTGAGCTCCTGGGTAGATGCGGTGGGCTCTTTGGCGGGTCCAAAACTGCCCGAATTTGCAGAGCCAGCCGGAGCGTTCCTCAAAGATGCTAAAGCTGTGACTCGGGGGGGATGTGCCCAGGCCACAGGCTGGCCGGCGCCCCAGCGTGCGACTGCCGCTCTGCCAGCCTATATCAGTGGTTGCATTGGTCACAGCGCGCCATCCGTTACCTTGTATCATCCATTGTTTATTGGTTTACCTATTCTGCAGCTGTCCTAATTTTTGGCACTCGCACAAAGGGGCCTTCCCGATCGGGTGCCTGCTGCACCAAATCTGTCCCGCCCTGAGGCTGCCGCACTTGATCGGCGCGCAGCGTGCTCTGCGCCTCCACATCAGCCCGAAGCGCGGGCGGCACGCCCTCAACATCCACACCCTGCAGCTGACCAAACCACTCCACGATGCTCTCTAGCTTGGGTCCCCAGTCCGCCACCTACACAGGGCACGTGCGGCGGGGTGTGTGGGGGGGGGGTGGGGGGGAAGGGTCCCCCTGGAAGGCCTGGCCATCTGTTTTTGCCTTGCAAGCGTGCTGCCACGGACAACACTCACCTCTTCGTCAGTCACGGAAATGTGTGCCATGCGCGCCAGCTCCCGCACATCGGGCGGTGCAACATGCCCTTGGCTGCCGCCGCGCTCGCCGCCGCTGCTGCTGGCGGCTCTGCAAGGTTGCAGCCGCTGCACAAGTCTCGAAGTCCTTGCGACTGTTGGGGGCAGAGCCGCGGAGGTGAAGCAATGCGTGGCAACGCCCCAGGCCTTGAACATGTTGGGGCCTTGACATGTTCATATGAGCCCATAAGGGCTTATATGCTGCTAGCTCGAATCGAAAGCAGTACACCACTGCAGGGCGCTGAAAATCTGGCGCGCACCTCCCCTCCCCGGCTCTATTCCGCCCTTCGGCCTGCAGAACTGCTCGCTACTTTCAAACCTGGTTCGTGTTGGATGTCGGAGGCTGCTGCTCCTCTCGGGGCGGCCCTCTTGGGCTTCGTGTATGCGCTGCCTCACCTCAACAGGTCTGGCGGGGCCCCATTCTCGTCCCTCGTCCACCTCCACCGCTCTGCCGCCAACCGCCGCTCCCGCCGCTCTGCCGAGCTAACGCTGGATGCAGGTTCCCCGGACCATATAGATTCACAACAACGGCGGCGCTCGCAGCAGAGACGGAAAATGCCTTCAAGCTGCTGATGCTCAAGGTGCTGCCCCGCCAGCAGGCGCAGCCCCTGCAGCCAGCACAACCGCCGGCCCTGCTACAGCCGCAACAGAAGCCGCCGCTGCAACTGCAGCCAGCCAGCGGCCAGGTGGGGCTGGCTGTCCCGGGACTTTTGGCACCCAGCAGCACAGCAGGCCAGGCGACTGACGATAGACTCCACATCGGTGCTGCTGGCAGCAGCGGAGCACAGCAAGCATGGGGTGCCGAGGGCGAAGAGGACGATGATGCTTTCTTCGGGGCCATAGATGTGGACAGCATGGTGCTGCAGGCAGCCGCAGCCGGCCCACTGCGTCCGTCACTGCAAGTCACACAGCGCCTGACCGTACCCAGCTCCAGCATTCCGCAGCAGCAACAGGCAGGCTGGCGAGCGAGCGAGCCTGGTCAAGTACCGGCGACTGCCTCCATCCAGCACCCAGTTTCATTGGGGTGCAGCAGCGGCGGGCCGCTGTGCAGCCACGGCGTGCCCCTTGCTGGCTGCACGCACCGCCAGCAGCACTTGGATGAAATCACCCGCAAGGTGGCTGATGCTGCGATGCAGATGGCCGATGCCGAAGGGCACCAGCTGCAGGAACTGCAGCAGGAAGTGAAGCGCCTACGGGGGCTGAAGCAGCTTTTAGAGGCGGCTCAGCTGCCAGCAGTTGCCACAGCAGGCCCCGCTATCACGCAGGCGCAGGGTGTGGTGGCATTGGCACCTCGGTGGAAGCCGCCGCCGCCGCCGCAGCAGCACAACATAGGGGTTGGGGAAGGTGCACATGGCCCCCTATGGTGCCAGCAGGCACGTGGTGGGGGCCAACGGGACGCTCCTCCTCCACCCCAGCAGCAGCAGTGGGGCAATGGCGGTGCTGGCGGCAGCTATGACGCTGTCCCACCACACCCCTTGTGGGAAGCTGACCGAGCGGTGCTGCAAATTGTGGCGGCAGAGCGGGAGGACGCCACCAACGACCCACAGTGAGTGGGCCAGTGACCTTCATGATTTGGAGCAGGTGTGCCTGCCTCATACCTCCGTGTGGCCGTAACCAACCTATGTATAGCGGAGCGCATCCCGACACATCCACATGGAGACATTTGTATCCCCGTCACAGGTGGCGCCAAGAAACCTTTGCATGGAGTGATGAGCTTCGTGTGCGCAACCGCGAGGCCTTTGGCAACCGTGACTTCCGCCACAACCAGCTGGGCATTATGAACTCCACGCTCTCCAATAAAGATGTGTTTGTGCTCATGCCTACAGGTGCGGTGAGGCAGGCCAAAGGGCAGGGCAACAATTTACTCATCTGGGCCTGACCATAAGTGCGGTTTAATTGTACTGCACATTGAAACACCCGTGCTGCCTCTTCTCGCCCCATCTACACGCCGCCCTGTTCAGGTGGAGGCAAGAGCTTATGCTATCAACTGCCAGCGTTGCTCTCCAAGGGCGTCACGATTGTGGTGTCCCCTCTCGTCTCTCTCATTCAAGACCAAGTGCACCATCTGACTGTGCTCGGCATCCCCGCAGCCTTTGTGGGCGGTTCCATGGACTGGAAGCAGCAGGCCCGCGTGTACAGCAGCCTTCACGAGCCCGACGGCTGCAAGGCAAGCAGTGCTGCGCGAGATCATGCTGCGCTCCTCTGGTGACGTTGTTCCGTGCAGGGCATGCTCGCAGCTGGGGCGCTGAACTGAGCCAGCTGATTTTTTTTCCGCTGTGTTGCGCTGTTGGCAGGTGCTGTTCATCACCCCCGAGAAGCTGTCAGCATCTGGCAAGCTGCAGAGCACCCTGGACAGTCTGCATCGGCGTGGCCTGCTGGCTCGAGTGGTCATTGACGAGGCACACTGTGTCAGTCAGTGGGGCCATGGTGCGCTGCCCGAGCCAGAATCCTCAAGGACGGTTGCCTTGGCCGGCTGGTTACGACAAGACAGCAACAGGAGGCAGCAGGCACCTGCATCCCTTGTTTAGCCTGATTTGCCTGTTTCTGCAGACTTCCGCAAGGACTACACTCGCCTCTCCTTGTTCAAGCAGCGCTTCCCTTCAGTGCCGCTGCTGGCGCTGACCGCCACTGCCACAGAACGCGTGCAGCATGATGTGGTTGCCCAGCTGGGCATCAACCGCTGCCTTGTGTTCAAGAACTCTTTCAACCGTCCCAACCTCAGGTGCGTGGCAGAGTGGCGGGCGGTCGCCTCCTTCTGCTTCCCATTACCGTGCCATTGGCATTTAGGCATAACATGTCCCCAGCCTGCCCGTTATCTGCATCATCCGCCTTGCCCCTTGGGTGGGCAGGTATGAGGTGCGGCGGAAGAAGAAGGGGTGCGTGGACGAGATGGCAGAGCTGATTCTACAGAATTTTTTGAAGAAAGTGCAGCCAAACAACAAGCGCTCTTGGGTAGTGCAGGTTTGGCGCCGCCAACGATTTGGCTGTTTGTGGTTGTTTTGTGCCCAGGCGCACTGCCATGCCTGACAAGCGCCAGATCGCCACTGTGTGCCGGCACCCAGACGTGGATGCCATGCCAGGGAGCTGCTTGTTTCCATGCCCAGCTTCGCCTGCCCTGTCCTGCAGTGTGGAATTGTGTACTGCCTTTCGCGCGCCGAGTGCGAGCGCGTGGCAGATGACTTGGAGGCCAAGCTGGCAGATGCAATCTATCCACTGTATAATGGCCGCCGGCGCGTTAAGTAAGCAGCGCGTCGGACCTGGCCTTCTATGGCACCTGCGCACCACCTGTGCATTGCTGAGACTGGCTTCAGCATGCCTGCTGATTGCATCGTGTGCACTGCCTGCCACAGGCACTACCATGCCAGCTTGTTGCCCGAGGAACGCGAGGCGGTGCAAGCAGAGTGGACTAATGGCGATGTCCCCATCATCGTAGCTACGATAGCTTTTGGCATGGGTGGGTGCTGCGCACAATGGCATTGATTGCCGGCATGTGGCCGGATTCTAGGTTTCTCAGCGGGCATCCCGGTGTTGCTTTCTTGTGAGTGTGTGCTGATAGCGCTTGGGATCGGACGCGCATTTGATCCTTTCTGATGATAGGGATGCGAACGGTTAGGCATAGGACTTGTCCTGCCTCCAGCTCTTTCACACTTTCAAGATATCTGCTTTGAGCCAGAAGGCTAGAGATTTGGAATCTGTTGGACATATCTCCATTCTGTGGCCTGCCGCCCCTGATCCAATCCTGAATGCCACAAGCTGCCTTTGTTTCGGGTGTAGGCATCAACAAATGTGATGTGCGGTTCGTGCTCCACTACTCGCTGCCCAAATCGTTAGAGGGCTACCTGCAGGCAAGCGGGTAGCTGGAAGGCTGCGCTTTTGCCAAATCCAACTGTGGCCATTGGCAGTTTGCAGCCAGTGCGATGTCTTTGTATTCTGCTGCCAAGCTGGCGGAGCAATGTGCAGTGCGGGAGCGCAACCTGCCCAGCGCTGACCGACCCTGCTGACTGGCTGCACCTACAGGAGAGCGGGCGGGCTGGGCGTGATGGGCGCAAGGCCTCCTGCATCCTCTACTACACTTATGGGGATGCTGCCAAGTCACGCCACATGATTCGCACCTCGGCGCAGGAAAACAATGCGCCAGATGAGCAGATCCGCTCTAACATGGAATCTCTCAATGCCATGGTGAGCCTGGGCAGAAAAATTGAAGGAAGGGGAAGCAGGTGAAGGGAGGGGAGCACAGCACGGAGCTGGCTGCTCAATTTCTGCCAAGCGGCCTCCACATACACAACCCCCGTTTGCCCGTATAGGTGAATTACTGCGAGGAGCAGGTGGAGTGCCGCCGCGTGCTGATGCTGAGCCACTTTGGGGAGGGCAGCTTCACTCGTGCACAGTGCAATGGCACCTGCGACAACTGCAACGCCACTGCGGGGCAGAGCCTTGTGCAGACGGATGTGTCAGAAGCAGCCAAAAAAGGTGCAACACATTTGTGTTGCGCGTTATGTGCAGAGGCAGCTCGGCGCTCCTAATGTTCTCCTCCACTCTAGGCTACCTGCATCGCCGTACGTCTCTCTGGCGTGCATCCATTTGGGGCTCAGTGCCCGCCTCAGTGTGTTCTGCAGTGGTGGAGGTGATTCGGTGCATCGGCAGCGCCTCTTTGAGCCACGTGGTGGATGTCTTCCGGGGCAACAACACCGTGGGAGTGCGCAAGATGGGCCACGGCAGCGTCGCTGTGCACGGTATTGGCAAGGCCTTCTGTCGCAACAATGGCGAGGCGGAGCGGCTGGTGCGGCGCATGGTTGTTCAGGGAATACTCCTGGAGCAGACTCACCGGCCAGAGATGCACCTGGCGGTGGTGTCCACCCTGGCGGTGAGTTAGTGAGCAATCTGTGACCAGGCTGTGCCGCTGGTGGCCTGCTTGATGCCAAAGACCCCAGCTCTGCTGCTGCATGTATGTGGCACTGAGTGCCTCTGTAACTGTGATTGACTGGCTGCCTCCATCCATTGCCTGGGCAGGTGAACGAAATGGCGGCTGCGTCCCTGTTGTCCGGCCAGCTGAAGATGAAGATGTACGTAGCGCAGAGGGCTGGGTCTGGTGGCGATGGCAGCAAGAGCCGTGCGGGGCGCAATGGTGCCGGTGCTGCCAAGAAGGCTTTCGCTGATGCGGCAGCCGCAGGACAATCTGCAGCCGCAGCGGCTTTGGCAGAGCCATTCTGTGGAGGTGGTGAGCCAGAGTGGCAGCCAGAGGACCCCATCGACTTATGCGAGGATGAGGAAGACGATGAGGTTCGGCAGCGGGCTGCAGTCATTCGCTCGGCCTTGCACCAGCTGAATGCGGCAGCTGGCGGACTGCGCAGCCTGTCGCGTGGCCCCTTAGCCACGGCTGTCCAGGCCAAGGTGGGCCCGAGCACCCTCTGCTGCAGCGCACTGTGCTGGGCACTGCACTGCATCGCTTTCTTCATGCACCACACATGTGTGCACCACATGGACCCATACCTTTGGCGTGCCAGACACGGCCTGTTTCTTACCTGCTGCCTGACTGTTGACTGCTCGTGTCCCCACCTTCCCCCCACTGCAGATTGCGGTTGTCGGCCCCCGCAATTTGGATGCATTTATGGCGCTCGACATCACGGGCATGAGCAACAGCATGAAACGCCACTATGGGCCCGCCATCGTGGCTGCCATCCAGCAGGCTGATGCCTTCACCCCTGGGGTGCTGCAAGGCATGCACCAGGTGGATGAGTTCCGCCTGGACACCACCAACATATTTGGGAAGCAGGTGGGCGGATGATGGGTGGCAGGCATGCCCAGCCCCGCTTGGGTGCGTGCCTCCCGTCTTGTGTTGCATGGTGTGCAATCATTGCTGCTGCGCGGGAATGTCAGAACAGATGATTGCATGCTTGCTCCGGCTGGTGTTGCGGAACCTGGCAGGAGGGGGAGGCAGCCCAGACCAAGCGGCAGCGCAAGGAGGAGGGCTGGAGTGATGACGACGATTGGGTGGATGGTGAGACGCAGCCGCTGCTGCTGCTGGAGCAATCCTGAGTTCCCCTCTGGGCACGTGTCGTTGCTTTCGCCTGTTGTCACTGCTGCTTGGCTCACCCCTTGCCTCCCTGCGTACCTTGATTGCTGCAGATGCCGTGGCCACGCATGGCAGACACGCACCCAGCGGCACCGGTAGCAGGCCTCCACCTCAGAGGCAGCCCAAGTTTGGGTGGCAGGTAGCAGGCGCTGGACCTCCGTCGCTGGATCTACAGACCTTCCACCACCTCAGTCAGCCCGCAGTGGCCGCTGCAGTAGGGCCCACCAGGAGGCCTATGGCTCGCCCCTCCTCTGCGGGGCCCTTCGGGCGGCCAGACGGCATCAGCTACAACTATGGCGCGGGGCCCCAGCCGGTGCAGCGGCTGCACAGCGATGCCTCTCCTGAATGGAAACAGAGGAAGGGCGGCGGTGCTGCTGACGCAAGCAAGCCGGGCGTGGTGCAATCCACGATGGTGCAAAGCTTAGGCGACGCATTTGGCATTGGCTGGAGTGGCGGTGGCAGCAGCTGAGAGCGATGTGAATTGACAATGTGAATTCTGGAGTGCAACGCGGCATCGACTGCCACAGGGTTTCGGCGCCCTGTCCGCCTTAAAGCGCTGCGGCGCATTTCCCCCCTCACCCACTTTTGTCATTCTTCTTCCTTCTTCTTCTTCCTTCTTCCTTCTTCCTTCTTCGTCATCTTCTTCTTTAGACTTCCGACACTTGCGTGGTGAAGTGGAGTTCTTTAGACTTCGACACTTGCGTGGTGAAGTGGAGAGCGACGATATTGCGAGACATCGAACTATTCCTGTGACTCAAAGCCGCGCTCCGCTAAGTGCCTTCTATGGCGGCCGAGACCGCCAAGGGCTGGAGCCGTATACGCACCGTTATCCCGCGCTGGAACAAGGGCCCCGCCTCCTCCGCACACGGCAAGGAGGGCCGAGCCGCGGCGCAGGTCGCGGCGGCGACGGGCGCGGTGCTGGACCGGCCGGGCGGCGACGGTCCGCTGGATTGCAAGAGTGGCGGATGTGTTGCCGCTGGGCGGGAGCAGCATGAACTCGAGGAGATGCCGCGGGAAGACCCGTCCCACAACTTGGGCTACCAGCGGGGCCTCGAGAGAGAGTACCGTGTGCTCAGGGAGCTTGCGCGCGGCGGCAATGGAGTCGTGCGGGTGGTGGAGGAGCTGGCCACAGGCAATGAGTTTGCCCTCAAGTCCATTCCGAAAGTCCTTACCGACCCCAAGATCTCCGACACGTGAGTGCTAGCAATCGTTTTTTTGTAGGTGGCTCTGCTGCGTTGTTGGCATATGTTTTGTGTTGGCTGTTCGGGTTGAGTGGAATTGTCACCGCCTCTGCCGCCCATGGTTGTTGGCCGCTTACACACAAGTGTCTGGGTTATGCCTGCCTGCCTACATGCAGCAAACGCGCCAGGCATGCCGAGGCGGTCAAGCGAGAGGTTGAGGTGCTGCGTCGGCTGCGGGGCTGCCTCAACGTGGCGGCGCTACAAGATGTGTATGAGGACGAATTGATGGTACACATTGTACTTGATTATTGCAGTGGCGGCGAGCTGCACCACCGCATTGGGGAGACAAATTATTCAGGTGCATTGTTTGCTGCGTGTTTGCGGGGGTTTGGGGACATGTCTCAACATCTTGTGTACACATTGTACATATCAGCGTGCGCGCTAACTGGCATGCAGAGCGCACCGTGGCTTCATACATGCGAGCTGTGCTGCGCACGCTGGCCCAGTGCCACTCACAGAACATCCTGCACCGCGACATCAAGCCAGGTGAAAGGGGCTGCGCCGGTTTGAATGGAGCTGGCTTGCAAGTGGTTAGGTGGCGGCGACTGCAGAACTGCGGCAGCTACGTCTGCGTGTACTTCTGTGCATCTGCACCTTATTTGGTGGCCGTGCTGGAGTGCAGGCAACTTTCTGCTGGCCTCTGGCGACGCCGCCGCCCGCCTGAAGGCGATCGACTTCGGGCTGGCAGAGTTCTTTGAGGAGGACAAGCTGCCGCGCACAGACCTGGGGCTGGAGGGCACGCCCTGGTGAGTGGTTATGGCCAGAAGGGCCCTGTGAGATTCTTTGCAACTCCTGCATATCAAGGCCTCCCCTCACCTGCCTGCCCAACCTTTGCCCAACCTGCTTGCCCAACCTGTAGGTTCATGGCTCCAGAGGCGCTGCGCAGCGAGGTGTACCCCGCCTCTGACATCTGGGCTGCAGGCGTCATGGCCCACCAGCTCCTCACCGGCCGCTTCCCTTTTGACGACCGCTCCAACCCCTTTGCCCCCTCCCTGTCCAAAGTCTGGTGAGCGAGCTGGGAAGTGGCAAAGAGCCCATCGGCAGGGTCTGAGTTCCGGAGGGCGGCTGGGTGTTTCAGCAGGCAGTCGCCAACGTGCAGCCGCACGCATGTAGCTCCTGGTGCGTTGAGTTGACCCTGCATGCTGCACATTATCACCTGCACTGCAGGCGGAGCATCCTGGCTGATGACCTGGATCTGATGCATAGCCACTGGGAAGGGATCAGCGAGGAAGCCAAGGACTTTGTGAAGATGCTGCTGAACAAGGTGCAGTCCATGTTGTGATGGCTGCTGATGCGTTGTTCACAATCATGCCATCCTGCCCACCCATCGCGCCACCCACCCAATGCCTGCAGGACCACACGCAGCGTCCCACTGCGCGCCAAGCCCTGCATCATCCATGGCTCCAGGGCCCCGGCACCAGCGAGCGCGGGAAGGGCAAGAAGCTGGCATTCGGGGTGGTGCGCCGCATCCAGGTGTGTGTTATTGAGGTGGGATGGGGTTGGGCTCACTGGTTGCCAAGGTTGCCTGCTAGGCCGTTGCCACCTGTGGGTTATGCGCACTGCATCAGCTCGTCACACCCATCATTCCGGCTGACCGACCTTCTCTTTTTTTCCTCTTATTTGGTCTGCTATCCCTGAATGCAGCGCTATAGCCAGGGGAGCGCGTTCAAGAGAAGTGTGCTGGACATGATTACAGGTGTTGCATGGCTGTCACCAGTCTGTGTTTATCATGTTTCTTCATTTCGCTTCCCAAAATTCTTCCATTTTGGCTGATTTGCAGAAGAGCTGATACGGGAGGGGCCCGGGGCGCCGGAGCGTGCGGTGCCCATTGGGCGGGGTGCCATGCCAATCATCGCAGACCCGCAGGCATGCTAGCTGCTGCATGGGACAAGGCCAGCTTCGCATATACTTACGGCCTGCAAAGATCGGCCACAGAACTCCGCATGTGTGCTTTGGCGCCCTCACTACCAGATGCTTCCACTGTCAACTGCTTGCAGGCCTCCCCACTGGTCTACCTGTACGAGCACCTAAGCATGACTGACAAAAGCCTGGTGGACCGCGAGGAGGTGGCTGACGGGCTGGAGGAGCTGGGTGGGTAGCATGGGAACCGTTTTTGAGCTCGTTCCCAAGTTAAAGAGTGCCCTCGCACGTTTTAAAAACGCTTCTGTTCTCTGCCCTGATGTAGGTTATCGGCTGTCGCCCGAGGAGCTGGAGCGACTGCTGGACCAGTTGGACCCCGGAAACACAGGCAGGTGTAAACTGCAATTTTACAATTGGTCTTGATGTCGGGCGAACATGTCGAATTGTGCTTGTCTGCCTTTCCACCAAGCGGCAACACTGTTCCTATGGATGCATGCAGGCAAGGTGGCCAAGATCCAAGTGGCGGCCTCCCAAATTGATTGGCGCGTGCTGCAGCAAGGCCATACAGAGCGGTGGCTCAAGTGCGTGCAGCGGGCATTCCAAGGTGCGCGATCTCGCTCTGAGCATGAAGCCCGTGCTGCCTGCTGCTACCTGGCAGAGCTTTTTGTCGAGTCATAGATTCTTCCTTCCCCGCTCGCCACAGACCTGGACCTGGACGGCGACGGCATCATCAGCAGCCGGGAGATGGTAACATCGCTGTGCAACAAGCTGCCCAAGGACGAGGTGGGCAGGGGCGAAAGGGATTGCCTGCTCCTTTTGCTGCACAGCGCTGGATGCGCCCTTGAAAGTGGTTGCCTGAGGCTGATTGGGAGGCGGGAGTGGCTTTGCGTGCAGGTGGAGGCCGCCGTGAGACATGCGCTGCACGAGGCAGCACGTCGCTCGGAGGGCTCCCTTCACCGCAGCACCCGCGCCAGCGGCAACATGCATGGCGACGACAGCAGTGTGCACAGCAGCGGCAGCGCAGGTGACAGTGTCCGTGATGGAATGTCCTTCCGCCAGGTGGGTGCCTCTCGATTCTCCAGTGTTCATTGCAACGGTCTGGTGATTTACAGCTGTGCCGGTTTGCTGGCTGGCTCGTCACAGGCAGGCTGTCGAGTCGATCTCATGTGCAGCTCCTTCCTCTCTTCCCCCCCACAGTTTGTGCGCATGCTGCGCGCCGGCTCCGCCGACTGCCTGTACAACTATGACGATCGCCACGGCTCCCTGGGCTCTTCAGGGTCGCTGGGCTCGCTGGCGCAGGCCAGGTGACCTGCTGTTCTGCGGTTTTGCGCGGCCTACAGTCTGTTTGCTGTGATCTGCTGCTTTCTTTGGTTCTATGTCGCCTCATCTTGCAGCCGTTTGCCCTCTGCAGCCTGCTGGAGAAGAGCGTCAAGGGGAGCACCCATTGTGCAGTTCCGTTGCTGGATGCCATAAACGAGGCAGCCTGATGCACCCAGCTGCAGTGCTACATCAAGCGCTGCATGAGCCATTAAGCGCTCATCAGCGTCGGCGCCTTCTTAGCAAACAACCCCACCCATTATCAGCTACTCTGTACATCAAGAGCGAGTGGAGGGGATGTTGCACCTCTATTCTTCTATCATGAGAGCCCTGTTGTGAGCATGCGAGCCTGTTGTGACCCCATTTCGTGCACCCCATTTCGTAGGTCTTGAAGGCACTATACATCACCTCTGGCCATCCCGTCCCGGGCGCATGTCCCTTTTGCTTTTTGGCTCAGCGCTCACACATGTGATTTGAGCATTTTGAGCCACTCCCCGGGCGCAATGGCTCACGGTGGGGGAGGGCAGACGCGGGCCCTGCACAGCCCAGCACTCTCCCCGCTCGCTGAATTCCGGCCTCCCCGCCCATTTCTCCGTTGTTTGGTGCAATGCCCCCTCGGGGAGAGCTAGGCGAAGCAGTTCCCGCAGAGTCGGTGATCAGGGCTGGGCTTGGGGGCGCGGGGAGGCTCAATCAGCGGGCGTAGCCCAGCCTCTATGACGTCTGAGTCGCTCTGAAGCAGCGGGAACGGGGCTGGGAGGCGGCTGGCTCTCCGCCCATGCGATGGTGCCGGAGTGAGCGAGGCGGCCCGCTGACCGCCTCAAGACGGCTCCACTAATTACCCAGCAATTATTGCAAGCGGGAAACGGCTCTCTCAGGGGGTGTTTGAAGGCTATTGTGCCATAGGATAATTGGATTCCAATTTGGAATGGCCACGGCGCGTTCAGATGGACCTGCACCGAGTAATAATAATTCCAAATAGCCAACAAGGAATTCCAATTCCTGAGGGAAGGTAAAAGCCAGAGGTCTCTCGCGAGGGGCTCTTCATCGTCTTCCAATTTGATCGAATCGCTGTTTCACCTACCTCCGAGCTCTGAAGACAATTTTGCCGTGGGCAGGGGGCAAGCCGCGCAAGGGTAAGTCCTCTCCTCCACCTCCAAGCTCTTGAACAGGTTGGGAGAAGGTGCCGGGCCCCGAAGGCCTGGGTAGCGTATGGCAGCGACGGCTCAGCTGCAGGTGGCTCAGCTGCAGGTGGCCCGGTGCGGTTCCGCGTCGTTGCCGTCTCCGCTGTTGCTGGGCAAGGTGCCGCCCACTGCTGCTGCAGGTCATGCCGTTGCCCCTCTCCCTGGCTGGCTGCAGATGCCGGCGGCACAGCAAGGGGTGGCATCGCGGCCGCGCGTCGACAAAATGAGCAGCGAAGTGGTCGACTCCAACCCATACAGCCGCCTCATGGCTTTGCAGCGCATGGGCATCGTCAAGGACTACGAGAAGATTCGCAGCAAGACGGTGCGGCCTGTGGTGGCGGGGACTGGGCGCAGTGTTACGAGGGTGGGCTGGTTGGTGGTGTCCCCGCCTGCTCCCTCGCCTCACCAGCCACTGCATCCTTCCAAGCGACGCAGCAAACCCCGTTGCATTCCACAACCGCATGCCACTTCCGCGCATGCCCGCCTGTGCTGTCGCAATCTGCAGGTCGCGGTGGTGGGTATGGGCGGCGTGGGCAGCGTGGCGGCGGAGATGCTGACGCGGTGCGGAGTGGGCCACCTGCTCATGTACGACTATGACAAAGTGGAGCTGGCCAACATGAACCGCCTGTTCTTTCGCCCCGAGCAATGTGGCATGACCAAGACTGACGCGGCTGCGCAGGTGGGGCGGCTGGACAAATGGAGGGCGGCTCTTGCCTGCTTCGGATGGGGGCCCCACCTTGCAGCAACTCCTCGTGGCCCCAAACTGCGGTGGACCGCAGACTCTGTCGGGCATCAATCCTGACGTGGCGCTGGAGAGCTATACCATGAACATCACCACGTTGGACGGGTTTGATGCCTTCAAGGCCTCCTTGACCACCCCTGGTAGTGCTGGCACGGAGTCCAGGGTGGATTTGGTGCTGAGCTGCGTGGACAACTACGAGGCACGCATGACGATCAATCAGGTGGCTCTATGGCGTGGTGGGGCAGTGGAGGTGATAAACAGAAAGTGCGTTTGGGCTTAGATGGATGCAGGGGATGCGAATGCGATAAATTTGCATTTGCGAGGCTGAACCATGGTTAGCACCTTTTGTACTCTCTTTATGCCATTCTTGTGCCACCTGTCTGCATGTCCCCTGAAACAACAGGTGTGCCTGGAGCTGGGGCAAACGTGGATGGAGTCTGGGGTGAGCGAGGACGCGGTTTCTGGGCACATCCAGGTGGTGGCTCCCGGGCAGACCGCCTGCTTTGCTTGCGTGCCACCGCTGGTGGTAGCCTCGGGTGAGCCTGTTTGATGTCGGGTGTCCTTGTCTGGTGGGTGTTGCTATACTGTTGTTGGGATGCAGCAATTGGGGGCACAGCACTTACGCCTGCTTCTGTGGGTTCCTCAACCAAGCTGCAAAATCACACTGCCGCTCAGCCCATTCCCCTCGCCTGCTTTTACCTTGTGCCCAGGCATTGATGAGCGGACGTTGAAGCGGGAGGGCGTGTGCGCTGCCTCGCTGCCCACCACCATGGGCATCATTGCTGGGCTGCTGGTGCAAAACACCTTGAAGTATCTGCTGAACTTTGGGCAGGTGTGTGTGGGTTACCGCACGGGGCGGTCTGTGTGGAGGTGGATGGACAGGCAGTAGGCAACATGGACGCTGGGCCAGAGCGGCCCCTGCTGGCCCAGGTATCCATCCTTTGGCGGCAGTCTTTCCTGTGTGACACATGTGTCGGCGTGCCGTTCCAGCCTTTACCCCGTCTGCCCAATGCAGGTCACACAGTACCTGGGGTATAGCAGCCTCAAAGACTTCTTTCCCACGATGCACATCAAGGCCAACCCCAGCTGCTCCAACCCGCTGTGCCACAAGCGGCAGGCAGAATGGGCGGCAGGCGCAGCGGAGCGCGAGGCAGCGGCTGCAGCCGCCAACGCAGAAGAGGCGGCTGCGGCGGCAGCCACTGCAGTAGCGGTACATGAGGACAACGACTGGGGGATTGAAGTGGTGCCAGACGATGGCAAGGCTTACATGCTGCCCGCCGCCACGGTAGCAGCTCCTCTGATGCAGCAGCAGCAGCAGGCATTGCCAGATGGTGTGCAGTTCAGCATGCCGTTGAGCGACGGCATGGATGCAGAGGCATTGCGCCAGGAGGCAGTGCAGGAGACGGATGCTGGTGTGGACGACCTGATGGCCCTCTTAGATCAGCTGGCGACGAAATAGTATACAGGCGGTTAGCAGCCCAGGTGGGGGCCGCCCCGCTGCGGCAGCGTGGGATGCAGACGGAGATTGAATCTGACCTGCGACAGCTCTCAGCGGACACATGATAATTGTTTTTGTTCAGGCGTACCACATACAGGGCAGAACACCATTGTGGCCTCTCCACCTGCGGCAGTTGTGTGGCAGGGGCCAGACTCGCCCAGCGCGGGCGCCGTCAGTTCTCAGCCCAGCAGAACGCCTGATCTCTCGCACCTCAGCCAACAAAACCTGTGCAAGGATGCCCAGGACGTTTTTTCCGCGCTGGGCATTACAGCCTAAACTTTTGCCTTCGCCGCCGGCCACGTCTTTATGATTTCCTCCATGTCTTCCATCCGCGCATCAAGAGCGGTTCGGCCCGCAGCGCCCCTGCGGGCTGCGGGCCGCAGGAGGTGCTCTCGTGTGCGTCAAATCAGGGCCAAAGAGGGTGGAGACACCCCTGCTGTCTCTGAAGACCTGCTTGCGAGGCTTAGAATTGCAGAGGAGGAGGCTCAACGGCTCAAGTCGGCCCTGGCCGCTGTGCAGGCTGTGAGTTCAGGCTGTGAGTCCAGGCTGTGAGTTCAGGCTGTGCTGTGAGGTGCCATAGTGACGGGAACAGCAATGCCGCCAGCGGCAGGCGGGTGGTAGGCAAGGTGCCGCCTCACCCGTGCCAGCACTATTGCAGGCCAGTGCGGAGGAAGGCGAGGAGGGAGGCCTACAGGATGCAGATGTTGCCAAGCCTGCCGCACGCATCGATGGCGGTGACCTGCGCCGTGAAACGCTATTTTCCCTGGAGAACCAACAGCTGTCATGGTTGTCGGAGAGCGACATGCCGCAGGAGAACGAGCCAGAATCTAATGCAGAAGAGCTGGATGTTGTCAAAGTGAGTATTTTGTGTAGATGGTGGCGTGAGGGCCGCCATTACACTTCCCTGCTCCCCTCTGCCACCGCGCTGCTCCCCTCTGCCGCTGCACTGCCCTCATGCAGAGACGCCTGCTGCTAGGGCTGCTGGGCACAGCGGCGCTTTGTGCCTTTGCACTGGTTCCTACGCAGCAGCTGCAACTCGGCAAGCCCAGCAAGCCGCTTTTTTTCTACCTGGTGCCGCTGCTCAGGTGTGTTGTCAGATGAATCTCTGCCTAAGCCTGCGGGGATGTTTTTGACGGCAAGCCTCCACATGCACAAGAGGGACACCGTCCCTGCACGAACAACTTGTTTGCGTCCCCCCCTCGCTCTTCCGGGAGCAGGTCACAGCAGTTGCTAGCGGAGGTGGAGCAGCTTGTGCCCGAGGGGTCGAGCGTTGTGGCGCTGAGGCCCCTCCTTGACCGCATCCTGGGTCCACCCAACAACCTGCAGCAGAACCTACGTGACGCTGCGGCATGTGAGCATGTTGTTTGCCGGTTTGCTGCTACTCCTCAGGCCGCCTGATGCAGCATGTGCTGGCTGCCCACATGCAGGCTTGACCACCCCGAGGGACGTTGCAACGGCAGAGGCCATTGGGCGGGACGTGTATGAGTATGTGCAGGTGCATTGGATTATGCGTGGATTGTGTGTTTGTTGTTCCGTGGGGATGTATTTGCAACACTGGTGGGGCAAGTGGCCCGCATCACCTGCTTCTGCCCCCTTGCCTTCCCTGGCCACCTGGAGCTTGCATTTTGCCTCACCCTGCCCTGCCTCCTTGCCTCCCTTCCCTGTCCCCTGCCACATTTAGTCTATCGATTATGACAAGGTGAGCCTCTCATCTCTGGTGGCTGTACACAAGCATTCTGCGCCCGCCGAGCTCATCTCACTGAAACTCGTGCGCGTCCATTCCACTTGCTTGTGGCACTGTGCAGTACTTCGAGTCAATGCGGGGAGCCCCGCGGGATGGCGCTGTCTCTGCACGGTACATTTTATTCAGCCTCAACTCAGCCAAGGCGGCACAGGTGGGTAGGAAATGCTTTTGGGGAATGACCAGCAGAGCTGACTCCTGCCGTCTGCTTATTGCAGGTCAAGCTGCAACAGTTTCTGGACCTCATGCCCGCTGACCAGCGCGAGGCAGCAGCCATGCAGATGGCCAGCCTGCCCTTCTGAAATGCCTACTGTGTCTGGGAGCAACATTTGGCAGCTAGACACTTGCATTTCGTTTTCATCCTTCATCAGCTTCTCCCTTTCACCTTCCTGATGGGCTGTGCATTTGCTGCTGGCCCTTAGCATCGCAGCACCGGCAGGTGCGGCACTGGCTGCGCTGCGGGCAATGGCACAGGTAAACAAGAATTGCAGCGCACCAGCCAGCGTGTACGCCCATGGTGTGTGAGTGTGAGTGAGTTGCTGCAAAAGTTTCAGGAGGTTTAAATCAAGCATAAGGACAAGAATGAACGAGGTAACTTGGGAGTGTCCGGTTTAGCGCCAGAACCAGCACACGAGATCAATAATCGGCATGTGGAGTGCCGAACGTCGGGAACCTCTGGATTGACTCAAGTGGTTCGCAGCTTTTCCGGCAGCGGGCCGGCCACCTCTTGGATCGCGCCTAGTCCGTTGGGGTGCTTGCCGTTGCTGCAGTAGTGCCCAGCCAGAGTAGCAGTTTTGGTGCCCTCCTGATTCAGATCATTCAACAAAGATGCAACTGCCACAGTGCCCCATTCCAATGCGCCGCCCACACACCTGCTGAGCTGCAAGCTCAAGTCGCGCACCACCTCGACCCCTGCCGCCAGCCGCTCCAGCGTGTTGAACAGCGAAATAACTTCGTTGCGCTCCAGCACCAGGCCTGAGAAGCAGGACAAGGGCATTGAAGCAGGGGGCATCATGTAAGGCAGGGTTGGGGCACTGGCTATGAGCTGAGAGGTTGCTTGCGAAGCAATACCCGAAACACCCACCTGCAATGTCACCCGTGCCGCCACCACAGTCTTCTGCGGAGAACAGGATCTTGAGGGAGGTGGCGATGCCCAGGAGCTGCAGCTTGGCCCACATTTTGCACTTCTCACACCCTACGCAATCCATGATGTGCGTGATGTTGTGGAAAGTGGTCTGCACACAGACAAGAAAGTATGCGACAAGAGTTCTAAATGGCAAGGCAGCGCGGTCCCTTGCCACCATGCTTGCCACAAGCCGGCTGCCGGCAGTGCGACACAATTGTCGTACCTGCAGCTGCTGCTTTAGCGCCTCACTGTTCGCCCCCTTCCACAGGCGCCCCTCATCGAACGGAATGGGGCACGCCGTCTGCAGCGTCTCACTGTTCAGCAACCTGCACAGCGCAGTGAAAAGGTGGCGTGGGGGGTACTGGGCTGCTGGATGGTCGAAGCCGCTGCTTTTTATATCGCATCGAAAGCCCAACCACTTCAATGCATAACAGCAGTGGCTGTCAATACAGCTATCACCAAGGGCCCCACTGGCACCAGCAAGTGCAATGCCGTAGTAACCCTTCCCCCTGGCCTCTCCCCTACTCAACACCTATGCATGAGATCGCGGGTATGCGCATCCTCCGTGGGGTTGCCAGTGTCATAGTCTGTAGCTCCCAGGATGGGGGCTGCTTTCATGGCGGCGCGCAACATAAAGAGGTAGGAGAAGTACAGGTTTTCAACCCTGCAAATGGGCAGGTAAGTGGGAAGGGCAACCTTGGACCGCTTTGTAGTTGCAATGGTCGACATGCTCACAACATGCGTCACAGCAGCAGCATGCTGAGCTCAGAACAGACATGGCACACAGGTGCGCTCACACCTGTCCTTGACCTCTGGGATGCCCAGCCGCCACTTAAACATCTCCAGGTTAGGGCCCCAGGTCTGAGTGGCCTCGTCAATGAGGTAGTCATTGACCACGTGGGCAGTGATGGAGGAATGCATGCCGCTGATGAGCCTGCAGTGCGGCTTGCGGCAAGGCGGATGCAAGGAGCAAGTGTGTGTTCACAGCATTGGCCAAGTGCTGCGCAGTTGGCAAAATCTGAAGGGCTTCAACACAACAAAATAACCTGTAGAACACACGCTGCTCAGGCGGCGTGCTGGGTGTGTTGATTCCCTTGAACATGTCCTGGGTGTAGATGGCACCCCAGACGCGGGCGGCGTGCTCCCCCTTGTACCCTGCTCGGATTGAGTCTCCAAATGTGGCTCAACATGTGGGAGAATGGGCGGTCGAGGCTGGTGCGCAGCAGCATGCGCCAATCGATGCAGTGCATACCTGTGTACCGCTCCGAGTTGCGCAAAAGGTTAATATAGCTGAACTCAACCTTTTCATCTGCGCAAAAATATATGAGAAATGAGATGGGAAGAAGAATTTGGAGTGAAGAGCAGGAGGAGCAGTAGATTGATGGATTGAAACCGTATCCCCACACTGCACCAATGCTTCATTCATCATCTGCTGCATGCTAACCACCGTGCAAGCAACGCACACCCACCTCCCTCGGGCATCCAAGGGTTGCGGTACCCGCGCCAGTCCCGAACGCTAAGCAGGCTGGCCTTGACATGTGGGGCCAGGGTCCGGTCCACGTTGCTTTCCAGCTGCACGCCTGCAAGGGGTGACAGCAAGGCGGGGGAAGGGCAGGTGGGGGGGGTGAAAGAGCCTCACACCAGGTGCAGACACAAACTTGATATGTGCAAGCAGTATAGGCCACAGGGTAGGCAACGACAGATCGGCCGCAGAGTGAACGGCAGCAACAGGCATCAAGATGCAATCGCAGCCCTCGCTACCATAGCAACCAACCCAGCCCTGCAGCCCGTCGTGGTTACTTACTGTCGCAGCCCTCCACCGCCTCTGCCTTGCGCCAGGGCTCTGGAACCTCTTGTTCCTCACATTCGCACACAGAGCAATCCCTCAGTGAGCACATGCCGTCATCGGGCCAAAGCGGGCACTCGCAATACAAGTCCACCTGTCAGAGGCAGGGAGAAGGTAATGCGGGACGGATCAAGAAAAAAAGTGAGTTGCGATTGTGGGGCGCCTTTCACAATAAGCTGTTGATGAGGCAGCCCCCCAACCCGCCCTGTCCACACTCCTCCACCTGCGCCAGCCACACTGCCTTCCACCTGACCTTGAAGTAGCGGAAGAAGGGTGTCTTGACCAGCTCCTCAATCAGCGGCTTCACCTCATCCCGGTTTACTCGCTCCACAGCAGCGTATGTGCAGCCTGGCCAGGCAGGGTGGGGCAGGGCGGCGCAGGCAACGCGCGGGCTGGAAGGCACAGCTAGGAGGCAGGGGAATGGGCCAGGCCACCCATGCGCAGGGCGGCAAGCTTGCCCACGAATGCCATTGGCCAGGCCACCCGTGCCTAGGGTGGCAAGCTTGCCCAATTGTGTTCAGCAGCATCTGGGTTACGTATCCGGCGCTCACAGCAGTCTGTCACGTTGCCGGCCAGATTGCAGGCTGCCTCCTCGCTGGCGGCATCGGTGATGTTCTGCAGCCAGCGCCATGGCATGGGGCTAACCTGGGTTGAAGGTGTGAAGTGTGGGGCCAGCAGGCACGCTCCGGGTTGGGCCCCCTGTATCACCGCCATTATTGCCAACGCACGCTTGATACAAAAGTGCAACATCCTGGTGTGCGTGAACGCTGCAACCCTGCTTACTGCCATCCTTGGCCACACTCACCCCGCAGCTGCAGCCGGCTTGCAACTCAGGCAGCAAGGAGTGCAGCAGCGGAAGGGTGCGCAGGCGGTCCACGGCGGCGGCCACTGAGGGTTGCAACAGGTCCCGCAGCTGGCCCGGCTGCACTAGCCCGTTGTTCTGGGCAAGCGCTATGGCCAGCGCCACCAGAAACACGCCTGCGCTGAGCAAACTGAGGAGGCGCATCGTGGCGTCCTGACTGTGTGTGATAAGCCCAGTGGTGCGGGGAAACGGCGCCTCGGGGTTTCAGTGAGCAAGGCATTTGGCGCGTGGCATGCTGTCAGCAATGTACAATTCTGTCTTGCTTTGTGCGGAATTAACGCGGGTTGCAAATGAACATGTACAGAGACACCATTTGCGCACGGCTGAATGAAACGCTTTATCTTCTTGGGGACATCCGGCCTCGGCCTCGGCCGCCGCTGCCGCCCCGCGTGCCGCCGTGCCGGCTGGCAGGGCCGCCAAACTGCTGCTGCTGCTCGTGATGGCTCTGTGCGGAGCGTCGCTTGCGGTTGCCACGCAGCTCCGTCTGCGCACCCTCGCGCTGCTGCTGACGCCAGGCTGCATCCAAGTCGGGGCCCACGCCACGGCCTTCATTGCTGCCGCTGCCATCTCCACGCTTGCCGCGCACCTTCTTGGTGCGGCCCTTGTCGTACTCCTGGTCGTACTCGTCCAGCCGCCGACGCTTGGGCGCCTCCTGCACCAAGGCAGGCAGGCAGGCAGGCCAGCACCGCCGGGTCGGTCTGGGGGGCTGGGGCCTGGCCTGGCCTGCCGGGATGCAGGCCCCAGGCCGGCCACTTGCTCCCTCTCGAGGGAGAGAAAGACTTTTGGTCCGAGTCGCGGGGCGCCCTGGGGCAGCGCGGCGTGGGGCAATGGCTGGCCGGGAGGGCCGAATGTGGGCGCTCCGGGCCGCTGTCGTGCCGAAAACGGGGGTCGTGCTCGCGTGCTGTGGCGGAGCGCGGCAGGCGTGGCGACCGCGGCACGCCTGGAGCGGCTGCAAGCGCGTCGGGGCGGGTGGAGCGGCTCCCAGGAGGTGGGATGCGGCTTCCAGAAGGGGGCCGGCGCGCCCGGGGAGGCATGCGTAGAAACCGCAGCCAGCCATGCCCCCCTGCCGC